TACGGAAGGTATTGACCCATACCTTCCTACCCCGCCTCTCCCTAGTCAGAACATACAAGCCGCAACCGCACCCATCAATCCTGGTATTACCGCAACTCCATCTTCCACTACTCTATCCAACTTACCATTATCACAAAGAGTCAAGAAGATAGCCTCAGCCAACCAAGGCCCCGCCAACATCACTAAGAAACATGGAACCCCAAAGAAGAAAGTGTTGGATTAGTGTCTAAGCCCGTAACTATATTTGGTATGTACTTGACCCGGTTATGCATGGTCCTTTTGGGTTGCCTTCACCAAAGCAACTTGACAAGGTAATTTGATATGAGAGAGAGGATATTATGGATTATTAATATATTATAAGAATAATATATTAAAGGAGAAATCATATTTATTTAATTAGTATTAGTCATAAATTAATTAGGAATTAATTTGGTGACTAAAAGAGATTAATTAAATAAAGGGGCATAAACTGTCAAATGTGTGATAGTTGAGTTTTGGGCTGGGAAACCTAATGGACTAAGGGGGAACGAAATTATGATGAAGGATCATCATATTTTCGTCCAAGGGCCTTATTCCAGAAGGTTCCTTGGGCTACTTGGTGGCTAAGGTATCCATTAGGGTTTAGACTGAAACCCTAGCAGCCTGCACTATAAATAAGACCCCAAGGCTCCAATTTTCGGCCACTTGTTCCCAAGAGAAACCCTAGGGCCGATTTTAGCATCATCTCTCCTCTCTCATAATTGCCTTCTTGCTTGTGTGGTGTTTGTGATCCATTAGAGGAATTACAATTGTGATTCTAAGCTCAAGAAAAGAAGATTCAAGCTTTTATTGAAGAGGTAAACATCTATATCTGATGTTATTTGTTATTTTGATATTATGTATGCTAGATTAGGGTTTGCAAGTCTTGGATTCAAAGCATGTACAATAGAGAAACCTAGATCCAAGCATTAGGGTTTGTATGAACACATATGATTGTTCTTATGCTTAAAACCCATCAGTGGTATCAGAGCCTTGATTGGTTTCTGTTGTATGTGATGGTTTAACTGTTTAATTGCTAAAAATCATTTTTTTTGCCTCTGCCCGACTCAACTCGGCGAGTAAGTATCTGGACTCAGCGAGTTGGCCCGACTCGGCGAGTCCAGCACTGACTCGGCGAGTCTGTGCATCAGGCAGAGGATATTTCGGGATTTTGTTGCTGTTTTGTCATGGGATTAATTCCTAAATCGTTTTTTGAAGATAAAATCCAAATTTTATTATGTTTGAATGATTATCCCTGCCAAAACAAAAGATAATTTCAAATCTTTTGAATAATAGTTTCTTTATATGATAAATATGGATTATTTGAATTATTTGGTAATTATCTTGTGACTAAAATTGGGTTAGGTCAAATATAGATAATCATAAAATGAATTGTTTAATTTATGTTATTTGTTATTTGATCCCTTGTGTTTTAAAAAAGTTCAAAACTTGTCCTCAAGTTTTGAAATTTAAATTTTACGATTAAAAGTTTAATTTTGAATGATTTAAATTTCAAATCCTTAGAATTTTACAAGTTTAAAATTCAACCCTATACTATTATATTATTACAAGATTAATTAATATATATATATATATATATATATATATATATATATATATATATATATATATATATAAGAATAAGCTAGTCTTATCGCTAGTAGGCCTCATTCACGAAGTCAGTCTATAAGGTGGGTATAAGGTTCCTGCCTATAAAATGGCGCTTAATGGGTGTACACTCACACCTACCGCTTGCTTGACTGGTGGAGGGTCGTTAGCCGAACGGATAGGATAGGGCACTTAATTCCTCATTATAAGTATAATGGATATATTAAAGTGACTACATTGTTTTATAAATTCCTAATCTTAGTTACTTTAGGGTAAAATGTGAAAATGATGCTATTCCATGGAATTACACTTTATACCCCTGTCAAACGTTAGTGGAGCGTGCGTGGCTAACCGGCACACTAATTTGGGATTGACATTGGTGACAAAGGGTGGCTCGATGTTTTATCATGGATCAATGGAGCGTGCGTGGCTAACCAACACATTGATTAGGTGATGAAGACATTGAGTGCACCATGTTGATTCGCATGGTTATTCACAAACTTGTTTGCGATCCTCGGCATCCCAGTCACAAATTTGGAGTGCATATCGAGATTTAAACATGCCATTGAAATGTTCAATGAATCTCAAAAGAAATCTAGGAATTTTCAAATACATTTAAAACTTAATTCTTTTTCGTTTTTCATGGTGAAAATTAGTGAATCGTCATTCACTTACCTTCAAATTATTTACTTTTAGATTATGGCATCCCTTTTCTAAGTTGTAAATAATGTTGTTGGATCCTAGCCCTAATTTCTCATCTGGGTGTTTAATTGGGGATTCATTTCTAATCAAACTTTGTTCCTTTCTATTTCAGATGTCTAACGCAAACGCAAACAATAACACTTCTGGGTCATTCTCGTTGATGAACCTATGTCAAAAGGTGACATTTGATGGCTCGAACTTCAACGAGTGGATGAGATACATTCTCATGATAACTCGCTACGAGGACAAAGAATATGTCCTCGACGAGAAGCTAGAAAAGATCAACCCAGAAGAAGCTACTCCTGAAGAGATGGCCGCCTTTGAGGCCCACAAGCGTGATGCAACGAAAGTTCATTGCATCATGTTGGCCACCATGAACCTCAAACTCCAAAAGTCCTATGAGGACATGTATCCATATGAGATGCACCAAGATTTGCTGGACAGGTACCACCAGAGCGCGAGACAAGAGCGCTATGAGATCATCACCAACATGATCACCGCTAGGATGGGGAGTGGAGAATCCCTAACTGCTCATTTGCAAAGAATGCAAAGGTATGTTGATCGTCTTCTCAAACTTAATGTTAAGTTTGATGAGGATTTGGCTATCGACATCATCCTCCACTCCTTGCCTTCCTGCTACAACCAGTTCAGAATGACCTACCATATGAACAAAGAAGAGGTCACCCTGAGTAAACTTCAAGGGCTCCTGAGGACAGCTGAGAGCAACCTCAAGGACAAATCTATTGCATCATCCTCTACTGTAGTTGCTCCTGTGTTGGCAATTAGCCAAGGAAAGGGAAAGAAGAGGAAGGCTCCTTCTAAGAGCCACCATAAGGGTAAGACCCAAGATGGTTCCTCTTCTAGTGGGACCAAAGCAGGTTCTGTTAAGCCCTCTTCTGACCCCAAGGAAGTAGAGTGCTTCTATTGCCACCAGAAGGGCCACTGGAAACGAAGCTGCCCTAAATATCTGCAGGATATTAAGGATGGGAAGATAAAACCCACCTTTGCAGGTATGTATTTAATTAAATCTAATAACTCATCACTTGCTACTTCATGGGTCCTTGATACTGGATGTGGTTACCACATTTGTTCTGATTTGCAGGGGCTAAGAAAAAGTAGGGAAGTGGAGCATGGAAGGATAAACTTGATCATGGGAAATAAGAAGTCTTCACCAGTAACCAAGATCGGAGTTTATTCCTTAGTGTTGAGTAATGGGTTAGGGCTAGATTTAAATAATTGTTGCTATTCGCCAGATATGGAAAGGAACATCATTTCTTTTCATGGATTGTTTAGACAAGGTTTCAGATATTCGTTTGATAATAGTAATGGTTCTATTAATGCTTATTTGAATGGTGTCTTTTATTTCAATGCATTACCTTGTAATGGGATTTATGAATATGTGTTAGTTATAGATAATTTAGGAAATGATGTTTTGAATATTGATTCGTCCACAAGTTTGGACAAAGCATGCTGGTGGCATTGTCGCCTTGGCCATGTCAACAAGAAACGCATAGCCCAACTCCAAAAGGATGGAGTCTTGGAGTCATTCGACCTTAGGGACGATGACGTGTGTGAATCTTGTTTACTTGGGAAGATGACCAAGTCACCCTTTACTGGTACATGTGAAAAGGGTGAGGGTGTATTGGATCTCATACATAAAGATGTATGTGGACCCTTTAGATCCACCACAAGGGACGCTTGTCGCTTCTACGTGACTTTTACAGACGATTATAGCAGATATGGATATATCTACTTGATCAAGCAAAAGTCAGAAACCTTTGAAAAGTTCAAAGAGTTTAAGAATGAAGTGGAGAATCAGCTGGGCAGGAAAATCAAGATGCTTCGATCTGATCGAGGAGGAGAGTACCTAAGTCTTGAGTTTCACGACTATCTAAAAGAATGTGGAATAGTTTCGCAATTGACGCCTCCTAGAACGCCACAATTGAATGGTGTGGCTGAGAGACGTAATCGAACCTTGTTGGACATGGTTTGTTCTATGATGAGTGGTGCTTCGTTACCAATCTCATTCTGGGGGTATGCCTTAGAGACTGCCGCCCATATCCTTAACTTAGTTCCCACCAAGAAGGTTGTCAAGACACCTCACGAGATGTGGACAGGGAAAGCTCCCTCGTTAGCACATATCAAGGTTTGGTGTTGTGAAGCTTTCGTAAGACGAGAGACTCATGACAAGCTAGAACCTCGTAGTGAGAAGTGTTATTTCATCGGCTATCCACAGAAGTCTTTTGGCTATGTCTTCTATAGACCAAGTGACAATGTTGTCTTTGTTGCTGGGAGAGGAGTTTTCAGAGAAAGAGAACTCATAAGTCAAGGAGACAGTGGGAGTCAGATTGACCTTGAAGAGCTTCAAGAGTCAGGAGATGAAGGAACCTCTGACACTGGTGTTCAACCTGAGGAGGAAACTCCTGTTGTACCAATTGACCAGTCCTTACCTCTTAGACGTTCGAGTAGAGTTATTGTTCCACCCTAGTTTTATGGTTTCCATATTACTACTGACGGGGATACGTTTATTAGTGATAGTACACTAGTAAATCTGGACGAACCTAATAGCTACAAGGAAGCCATGGCAGGCCCAGAGTCTGCTAAATGGAAAGAGGCAATGGACAGCGAGATTCAGTCCATGTATGACAACCAAGTTTGGAATTTGGTTGACAATGTACCAGGTCGTAAGACAGTCGGGTGCAAGTGGATCTTCAAAAAGAAGACAGACATGGATGGGAAAGTGCTTTACTCAAACTCCTGGAGTTGACTATGATGAGACCTTCTCGCCAGTTGCCAAGATAAAGTCTATTAGGGTAATGCTCGCAATAGCTGCGTTTCATGATTATGAAATCTGGCAGATGGACGTAAAAACCGCTTTCCTAAATGGAAAGTTGGCTGAGGATGTTTACATGAATCAGCCAGAGGGTTTTGTCGATGCGAAGCATCCAAATAGAGTGTGCAAGCTTGAGAAATCCATTTATGGATTAAAGCAAGCATCTCGCAGATGGAATCTTTGTTTTGACGAGAAGGTCAAAGAGTTTGGTTTTCTGCGAAACGAAGATGAATCATGTGTGTATGTCAAGGCCAGTGGGAGTATAGTGAGCTTCCTCGTATTGTATGTCGATAACATACTACTCATAGGAAACAACATTCCAACCTTGCAGGAGGTCAAATCCTGGCTTGGGAAGTGTTTCGCTATGAAGGACCTCGGAGAAGCTGCATATATACTAGGAATAAGGATAGTGAGAGACAGAAGTAAGAGACTGATAGGACTCAGTCAGGATACATACTTGGAAAAGGTACTAAAACGTTTTAGTATGGAAAATTCCAAGAAAGGGGAGTTAACAATCCAATGCAATACCAAACTGAGTAAGACTCAGAGCCCAAGTACAGAGGCAGAGATAACTGATATGAGCCGCGTACCTTACGCTTCCGCAGTTGGCTCGATTATGTACGCTATGACCTGTACTCGTTCTGATGTGGCCTTCGCCTTGAGCATGGTCAGCAGATATCAAGGGAACCCTGGTAGGGCGCATTGGATTGCTGTCAAGAATATTCTTAAGTACCTACGAAGGACCAAGGAATGGTTTCTAGTCCTCGGTGGGAGTGATGACTTAAGAGTGCGTGGGTACAGTGACGCTAGTTTTCAGATGGATCGGGATAATTACCGATCGCAGTCAGGCTGGATCTTTACCCTGAATGGAGGAGCAGTGACTTGGAAAAGTTCCAAGCAAGAGACCGTGGCTGATTCAACGTGCGAATCAGAGTACATTGCGGCAAGCGAAGCGTCAAAGGAGGCTATATGGTTGAAGAACTTCATTGGAGACCTTGGAGTTGTGTCATCCATAAAGGAACCCATGGAAATTTTATGTGATAATGAAGGAGCGGTTGCCTTGACCAAGGAACCAAGAGATCATGGCAGATCTCGACATATCGACAGGAAATACCATTTTATTAGACATCGGGTAGAAGAGGGACTCCTCGTTGTAAAGAGGGTATCGTCAGAAGATAACCTAGCAGATCCCCTTACGAAGGGACTGAGTAGGGTTAAGCATTTGAAGCACGTTAGGAGCGTTGGACTAAAGGACGATATTAGTTTAGATTAGATAGGTAGGAAATTTGTAATGGATAAATTTGTATTCAACATTTTGATGATTAAATAAAGGTGTGTTATTTATAAGAAAGTTACTATCTTGTGTTGATTATTTATCTGTTATTTCCAATTTTGCATGTTTTGACTTCCTGAATAATAAGATTGTTCGAACAGTCCACAATCACTCATATGTTGGAAGTAGATATGAAAGAAGATTGTCATAAATTTGTTTGTAGATTGTCTGAAAGGTTTTAGACATAGCAAAGGTTTGCTGCGAAGTTTATGAGTGCTTATGAAATTTGTTTTGAGCATTGGAATAAACCCGCACTTGCTAGTATCACTTCATGAAAGTTACCATAAGTGATCGCAAGATGATAATATCATATAATCTTTAAACCTAGAGATATGATTGTTGTTTGCTAGTTGATTATGCATTGATAATGCGAAAACGCATCAGTAACTTGATGTTATAAAACGCATTATTGTGTGTGACTTAGCTAGTAAATGATAAAAGCATATAAGTCGAAGTTTTTCTGTACCTTTTATTCTAAGAGAATAAAAGCGATATCTTGGCCACTCGATGATTTAGTTTGACTTATGTGCCGGGCCCGGTCAGAATGAAGTTGATGTGTTCAACTAAATTCTATGTCGAATAAATCAGAGATCGAGAAACAAAATGTTGGATAATAAGTATTGTCAGCATGATATCTAGAACAGAGGATTATACGATCCCTTATCTGAAGGACAGGATTTTGATCAGAGTTGACAGAAGCGTATAAGAGCTACGATTGCTAACCAGATCCTGAAGTCATATGTGAGATATAGTTACTAGACTTATCCAAGTGGGAGACTGTTGGATTAGTGTCTAAGCCCGTAACTATATTTGGTATGTACTTGACCCGGTTATGCATGGTCCTTTTGGGTTGCCTTCACCAAAGCAACTTGACAAGGTAATTTGATATGAGAGAGAGGATATTATGGTTTATTAATATATTATAAGAATAATATATTAAAGGAGAAATCATATTTATTTAATTAGTATTAGTCATAAATTAATTAGGAATTAATTTGGTGACTAAAAGAGATTAATTAAATAAAGGGGCATAAACTGTCAAATGTGCGATAGTTGAGTTTTGGGCTGGGAAACCTAATAGACTAAGGGGGAACGAAATTATGATGAAGGATCATCATATTTTCGTCCAAGGGCCTTATTCCAGAAGGTTCCTTGGGCTACTTGGTGGCTAAGGTATCCATTAGGGTTTAGACTGAAACCCTAGCAGCCTGCACTATAAATAAGACCCCAAGGCTCCAATTTTCGGCCACTTGTTCCCAAGAGAAACCCTAGGGCCGATTTTAGCATCATCTCTCCTCTCTCATAATTGCCTTCTTGCTTGTGTGGTGTTTGTGATCCATTAGAGGAATTACAATTGTGATTCTAAGCTCAAGAAAAGAAGATTCAAGCTATTATTAAAGAGGTAAACATCTAGATCTGATGTTATTTGTTATTTTGATATTATGTATGCTAGATTAGGGTTTGCAAGTCTTGGATTCAAATCATGTACAATAGAGAAACCTAGATCCAAGCATTAGGGTTTGTATGAACACATAGGATTGTTCTTATGCTTAAAACCCATCAGAAAGATGTTCCCCGGAACACTGAACCATCAAAGAAAAGGAAACTTAAACACATTGTGCCTTCAGATGACGAATCCAATGACAATCAATCTCAATCTCCCTCCAGTGATTCTGATGATGATGCACAACCCATCTCTATCCTCAAGAAAAGAAAAACCAAATCCACAGACCAAATGCGTGACCGGACTGATGCTGCAGCCTCTCAAAAGGCTCCGGTAGTCCTTGGGGTGGCCGCAGACCCATTCCATACAACCATCGAATACCACTCAGACACAGAAAGTGTGTCTATTTCATCTAATCGTGGAGACTCCCCCCCCCCCCCCCCCCCCATTTCACTCCCAAGAGGATGGAACTGGTTCTCGCCCTAAGGTCTCCAGGGCCTCCCGTCTACATTTTTTTTCACCCGAGGAGTTGAACTCCATCCTTTTGTCAGTAACCAATACACTTCAAACACCTTCCCAACCGCAGGGCAATTCTTCCACCCTTGCCAGAACTGAGCCGAGGCCAGACTTGACCATGGGTCAAGGACACCGAGGAAGCTCAGGAAATCCTACTCCGCTTCCATCCTTTCCAGGTGGTTTAGGCATGGTGAGCACAATTATGCAAGGATCCGTGGACCCGAGGGACACCTCGGTGCGATATCAAGGAATTGACGGTATTGATCTGAATGACTCATGGAGTAAATAGAAGCCATCCAATGAAGCTGAAGCAAAGAAATATGTCGCTTTCCGTAGGGCATTTCAAGCGAGAAAGGATCGACAGACCAAGCAACTTCAACTTAAACAGCAAGAGATTCAATCAGTGGCCAAGTATTGGGCAGACGCCATTAATAACGCCAACACCGTAACCACCATTCTAAAAGTACAAGAGTGGATGTCCACAATGGCTGAGACGGTCCGCAACGCTCAGATCACTCTTGGTGGTGCAGGTTCATCAAAACTCCCTCCAACTCCAAATGTTAGAGATTCTCAAGATGATGACACCGCAATCGAAGTTAGCTCCTCACCTACATTCGGGTTCGATGACTTTGATATCAATGAGGTAATTCAACCTACCCCTTCTGATGACGACTTAATGATTTTTGATGAGGAAGAAGCTTCGAGTGGCTCTCAACACTCAACCTCCAAGCCTAAAGAGAAAAAGAAGAAGAAAAGGAAGATTGCTGTATCCAGAAAATAATTTCTGAGTCTACAAGACAAAGTAGATCAAATTCTTGTTGCGGTCAAGCCCACTCAACCGCAACCTGAAGACATTCCAGGACCACAGTCCCTAATTAAAAGGATAGAACGACTTGAAACTCGTGAGCGACTGGCTGCTGAGCGAATTTCCCTGAAAGTTGAAATGGGAATTCGTTCTTTGGATACAAGTCGACAGGCTGACCATCAGCAATTCATGGCTACTGCCGAGCGCCTCATCTCTGAGGTATCCACAATCAAGACAGACCTTCAATCAGTCATTGCGGATCAGTCAACTCACTCGAAGAAGCTGATAGATGAAACTCATAATGTCTATGAGTCCACCATCTCGGTCCTACAATCTACCATTAACAGCCTTCGACGCTCTCTATCTTCAAACTTTCATGGTCCTGAGATTCTTCAACTTACCAAGGAGATTCATCGACTACTCTTAAACACCGCCATTCCAAACAATCAGCAACTGGCTGATACCCTCAAAGCTCAGTTTGACACTGTGTGTGCTAAATTCGATGGTCTTAAGCAATGGCTTGAGGAATCCCCAGCTCTGCATTCCTCAAGAGGGGGAAGTGGTGAAGACCATCATTCAAACAACATCTCTCGCCAACATCGAAGCTTCCCTGTCATCAATGACAAAGTTCCTTCATCGCAACATCAGTCTCCACCGCAACAGGAAATCATTCAAGAATCTAGTCCTTCTCCGAAGCGACCGGAGACTCCTCCCCACTTCAAGAACTTAGCATCCAACATGTCATCCGAACATTCCAATGACTCTCCTGCAACAAAACAGAAGAAAGCTGACTGGAAAGCAACCAAGTTTGCTAAGCTAATCTGGAGAGAAAACGGATTCGACATAACCATGGATGAATCTTTGGTCAATTCTTGGATCAATCCCCACCGCAGATTGCTGGATGATGACTATAAACCCTATCTTACTTTTGCTGAACCCCCATCTAACGGTTACGGGGATATTCCAATATCCCCCAATGCAAAGTACTTCACTGTATTTGAGCATTTTGACCGCAGCTTACCTGATCACAAGAGACTGCCCATGGAATTCGAAAGACTCAATCTATTCCATGCCAAACATGCTTTTTCAATAGAGAAAATCTGGTGTAATGATAGACCATCCGCAGTCAAGAACTTTAAGCCCAGGAAATTCATGAAAGCTGACTTTATCCAGTATACTCTTACAAGAAGGAATCAGGACTACGTCCGCACCCAAGCTGACTTCCCATGTATGAATCCAGAAGAAGTCTTCCTGATAGCAAAGGTGTTCCAAAACAAAAGCGAGAAGTATCCAAAGATGAAGATAACACTTGAAAGGGCAAGCTCATTTCTAAGGGAAACTGTCTGTGACTTCGTAAAGATTGATGCAGATATTCACCCTGCCCTTGCCAAAAAGTTCGATCTACCACCACTTAACCCTGCACCGATGCTTACTGAAGGTTATCAAGAGAGATCCCTAGGTGCAACAAACTTCCCAGACCTTGGAGTCATTTTCAAAATAAAAGTCGATGAAACCAAATATTTCATTCCTATGACTGCCATGAATCGTCTCACAAGGAAGAAACTTGAAATTTGTCGAACCGCAGTTCAAAGGTCAAAACACACGACTGCCGAAGTTAAGTTTGAAATTTTAAGAAGGATCACCTGGTTGGAGAATGTCAGAAAGTTTTGGTGGATTCAAATCAAGTTCCTAAAACTTGATAACTGAAGAAAAGTTGAAGAGGTCACTTAGGGGGAAATTGTTGAATAATAAAATTGACCCTCTTAAACTTGGTCTACCGCAGCCCTCCACTATCCGCAGTCAACCCAGTTCAGCAACCACATCCGAAGTCATCATCATCCGCAGTTCACTGTCTAGCTTTCTTAGTTTAGCTCTTTATTTGCTTTTCTTAGAATACTCGCTTTTGTCCAGTATGCCTTGCATGGCTATGGTTAGATAGTTGAACAAGTGTAACCCTTGAGTCTCTATATATAGAACTCAATCCTTCTTATTCAATACATCTGATAACATTGCGCATCTTGAATCTCATATCTTGTGTTATTACTCTTATCTCCTTCTTACTCTAAAACTTACTAGACTACAACTGAATATTATCTCTCTTCAGAGCAAGTCATTCTTGACTTAATCAGTAAGTTTGATCTCACTTACTAACTCGGTCTGAATGCATTCCTTGTT